TTTTACCATCGATGTGTTGCCATAGTCATGTACTGACCACTGTATGGACATAGCATTCTTGGATTTAAAGCACTGAATGTTCCCTTGGAAGTAGGAATTGTCTTTACATTTGGCGTGCTTTAGAAACTCCTTCATCCGCAGATGTTAAAGACATACTCAAGAGTGGAACCCTGTTTTCATCATCTCTGTCTGATTTTTGGAAGTCAAGCCAATCAATCTAAATTTTCTACCACCTTTATCAGCTCTGCTCTTTGGGGATAGGGTGATCTCTAATGACTGGTCAGGATTATTGCCTTACACCTGGTGTTTCTGTTCAATAACTTATTAGATCTTGGCAACTTTGGGTGAAAACACTTTTCAACAACAGTGTTAAAATTGTTTGCTCTTTAACTCTGCTAAATAAAAGTGTAAATACAACTTTTTCTATATGGACGCTGCTTCATTTCATTTTTAGTAATCTTGGGTTTTAATGGGGAAATCACTTAAAGCATATAGGTAAGGATGTGAATACACAGCTTAAAAACCTGGCATGTATAGGAGCAAAATGTGCTTTCAGGGAGGAGGGTGAGATTGCTATTCTTGATGCAGACACAGATTTTCCACTTTTGGAGTCCTTCTACGTGAGTGATAGGTTGAACTGCAGTTGTATGTGATGGGAGAAAGTCAGTTGTGGCTGGAAGTCTCTGTATACAGAAAAGTGGGTCCTTTGCCTTCATGTTCTATTGCAATTGCCTGAAATCAAAGGTTGCAAGAAGTTGCTTTAAGTTGTTATTTCATTGGAAATGCTTTATATTTTAAAGAAGAGCCCATGAGTCCTTAATTTTTTCCATCATTATCAAATTGTAAATAACAGTATTGATAGAAAAAGAACTCAGAATATAAGAAATACTGTGTATGCTTGTACTGCTTGGATATGGGTCAGAAAGGGCCTGCAGATGATCAGAAGTCATCTGGTCTCATGGTCCTGGGTACCGGGCTCTAGGTGACCCTACTTGAGCAGGGGGGTTGGACAGGGTGACTTTCAGAGGTCCCTTCCAACCCCAACCATTCTGTGAGAGATACATAAGCTCACAAGGTTGTGATAAACATGCCTACTCCATATGCTGCTGTCTCTTGGGAATTCAGAGATACCTAAATATTCTAAGATTCTGAAACTACCATGAATTGCAAATATTGGCAGCAGCCTGAAAGCCATTTTGTTCCTTGCTAACTGTTGGATGCTGCTTTAAGTTTACTACTTTTCCTTACGTTCCTAATGATGCAGGTTTTTCCAGATTATTTGTTATTCTGCCTGTTTTCTTGGTATTTGGTATGTTATTTTACTGCAGTGAGAATTGGGTGAGCTTGGTAAAATACAAAGGCTGTTAGGTGTTTTAGTAGGACAAGTGAAGTCTGCAGCTGTTACAGTAATAAATATATGTAAACGATGATTGAGAACTAAGGAGGAGGAAGAAAGGATGTATTCTGTGCTTTCTGAGGAGTAGCAATCTAGGATTTGCAGCAATTCTGACAAAGTGCAGTTGGGTTTTTTTCCTACTGTTGTTGCTATGCATGGGCAGTAGATAGGTCCCAAGAGTTTAAAATCTCACAAATCCTTTTAAATAGAGAGCTTGGGTTTGGGTATTTGCCATAGCTATGAACTTCATCATACTGGACAGCTTCAGACTGTGACCACAGTCTTGACATAACTGCTATTTCTTGATGTGCTCAGATCATGATTATCTTATACAGCAAGCTGGACAGTGATTTTTTCTTGAATAGCTTTTAGTGTCAGAATTGATTCACGTTTTCCAAACCTCAAATTTGATGACCTTCAGAACAGAATATTGTACTGGTCTTTGAAGATAGTGAAAGGACATAGATAGGATTTAGGAAGGGTTTTATGTGTGCCTTACCTCTTGACTCTTACTGAGCAATGTCTGCTTCTTGTAAGAGTTCAAAGGGTATACTTGCAGCATGTTTCAGTGAAGATTTGTTAGCTTCAGTGGGGAATCCCTTACCCTTCAGAGAATTGTGAGTAGCTAGTTGCTTAATATGTACAGCATTTGCCATCCATATGGGATGCTAACATTGAAGGTAACTTTGTGCGGAACAGGGATTTGAACTCCATTCTCCTGGATAAGTGCTTTGCTGCTTTTTATTTATGCTCTGAAAGGCATTCCTTTCCTTCTAATGTAGAAGGAAGAGAAATGTCTGAGCAGTTTGCTTTGTCACAAAATTGGGTTCTTGTCTTCTGGCGAGCCTTGCTTTATAAATGTCATTCAGAGCACTTAACAGTGCTTAGCAAAGACTTGCTATGGGAAAAGCCTAGATAAAAATCTCTTAAATAGAAATGAAAAAGTAATTTGAGAATGTTTTCTGCCAGTCAAGTTTTTCTTACTTAACTGAAGAGAACACAGAAGGGGTTCCTCTGTCTACTTTCACTTACAGAAAGACCATGGGAATATTTGGTCAGATTGACACAACATATTCCTGTATTCAGTGGGTACTGTATCACTGCTTGGGGTTCAATGCACTTAGCTTAAGGCAAGAAGTAGAATAAAATGCATTGCTACTTACGTGCTCTTGAGGCATGTGTAATGCAAATATAATGGTTTAGCTCCAGGCTAAAACTTGTAGCAGTCAAGTGGTAGACCTCCCTGTCCATCTCAATTCTGTAGCCCAAGTTCACAGGTCTAAATGTAATTCCAGCATGTTTCTTAGCAGGGACAGGTAATCTGTGTGTGTTCTACCTTAGGTGAACTAGTGCTGCTTTACTGGGGGGGTGGTTTCTGGTGGGAGGGGATTGAATTAAAGCAGTAGGCAAAATTTCCTTATAAAGTTTGGGGAAGATGCTTCATGAACTTTGTGAACAGTATATGCTTTGTTCTTGACAAAACACATGCACAGAATGGTTCCAGAAGCCGTAAGACAAGAGAAAGACACCAGGGAGCTTGAAGGCTGAACAGAGGCTGTGAAGGGTAACAGTGACAACAGGAATTTCCTTCAGGATTAGAGAGGGTGAGTGGAATTTATTGAAGCACTGGCAATGAGTTGGCTGGAGGCAAAGAACTGCCTGCAGTGACAGAGTGGATGATGTCTTAATTGTGTTAAAGCCTCTCTTGAGGGCTTTTTGTTGTTTTTTTTTTTTTTCCCTAAGCCTGTTGGTTATGTGTGTATAGCCCAGAAGATACAGGCAGTTTCACCTCAGTGCTCTGATTTGTAGTCCTGTTGTAAATACAGGAACAGGAAAGCAAAAGGTAACAGTAGCCTTCCCATTTAATACCACAGAAGGGATTACTCTACTACTGTTGTGGGGGTCATAGAAAATGCCTGTCTTGTGGCTTAGGACTGCCTCTCCTACCTTTGGTATATGCACAGTGTTGGTTTTTTACCAACATCTTTTGATGAGGATCTCAGAAGTAGAAGATGATGGTGCTGCTGGTTCAGTCTAACCCTGAATAGAGATCTGTCCACCCTGATGTGGCAATCAGCAAAATCAACAATCTGTTCTTTGCCAACTGTAGTTCTGTGCTTCTCTACATCTTTTTTTTTTGGTGCCTCCTGTATGAAGACAGGCTGAGAAATTTGGGGCTCTTCAGCCTGGAGAAAAGGCTGCATGGAGACCTCATAGCAGCTTTCCAGTATCTGAAGGGGGCCTATGAGGATGCTGGGGAGGGACTCTTCATCTGGGACTCGGGGTAATGGGTTAAAACTTAAACAGGGGAAGTTTAGATTGGATATATGTTCTTTCCTGTTAGGGTGGTGAGGCACTGGAATGGGTTGCCCAGGGAGGTTGTGAATGCTCCATCCCTGGCGGTGGTCAAGGCCAGGTTGGACAAAGCCTGGGGTTGACATGGTTTAGTGTGAGGTGTCCTTTCCCATGGCAAGGGGGTTGGAACTAGATGATCTTAAGGTCCTTTCCAACCCTAACATTTCTATGATTCTGTGGTTTGGGTTTTTTGCACTACATGGAACAAGTGGTTAGTCTTCACTGAAACTTTCTTAATTTATTCAATGCTGCAGAAGTATCACCCCCCAAATGCAGACTTGTAACCTCTTTAGTCTGTATTATTATGTGGTGGCAGTGGAAAATGTGTCTTCAAAACTTGTAGTAAATGCTGTGTGCAGTTGTGAATCGTATCACTGCAGATAGTTAGAACTGTAGCTTGAGCCACCACTGCAGGGAATATTGCTACATCTTTTTATGGTGTTCGATCATTGGTTTTATTGTAATTCCTATGTTCCCTTAGAACATTGCCTTCGAAATTAGAAGTTGGGCTTAAATAAGGCTTTTTCAACCTTGCTGTAGCAAGAGCTCTTTATTTTTTTTCCTTTGAATCCAATATGTAGGCAAATAAGAATTTTGCTTACTTGAAGCAATAGTTAGGGGAGGCATTTTATTGATATCTTTTGGAAATGATGTGTTATACTTGGGCAATATTGTAATTCCGGCAATTTCGCTAGTCACAGAGCATGTAAGTAGTGTATCTGCTGCTCTTACAATCACTGGGGCTTTCTTGGCATGGTGCATGCAGAAGAGTCCTCAAGACATACATGCTGTATGTGACAGCTCAATGCATCCCTGAGTTGCTTTTACTACTCACAAGCTTTGTGACTGCCTACAGAAAACAACTGATTCAAGCTTTTGTTTAGGAAGAGTTAATTTTGTCAAGAACCCGTAGGCATGGAAATCACCTACAAGATCCTTCAATCTTCAGAAGGAGATTTTGTTTGCTTTTTCACTGGGGCTGCGGGGGCGGTGGGCAGGGAGAGGCAGGTTGTGGGTTGCCGCAAGATGGCCTAAGATGCAGAGGACAGCAGCAGTCTAGTTCATACAGGCAGTCACATTTCCTTCTCTTTGCCTTCAGTGTTTCACTTGCCAATCCCCTTGTTTTCCTCTCCAGACAGTTCTTGAACACAGAATCATAGAATCAATCAGCTAGGCTGGAAAAGGCTGTTAAGATCATCAAATCCAACCGTTAACACATTCTACATTGAAAAGAGCACAAAGCAGTCGCTGGTTTTTAATGTATTTCTTTAATCTGCAGTAAAAAAAAGAGAAAGTAAAACTTTTTCTAAGCGTATGAATGACGTACTTCTAAAACAACATAATGATCAAGGTCATTTTCATTTTAAAAAAGCAGAAACTCAAATTTAACAGGCCTTGAAATCCCACTTTAAGAAGTTTTTAATTTAAACATTTCAAAGCAAGTCTGTTTTTCAGATTAAGGGAAGGTGAAGCTTCTGTTAAAAAAAAGGCTACAATAGAACAAAATACTGAATTCTGTTCTCATCTTATTCTCATTTAACACTTTGCTTTTTAGATATGCAGTTTAGCATTCCATATGAGGTTGCCTTTATTTTCTTTAAGCCATGATTATGTCAAATTAAGTCCTCTTTTCTGTGTGTCACGCAGTGTTAGTAATCTTACTGGGCTTCCAACATCTCAAGAGTAGTTTAGTCACAAAAATGGAAGTGAACTTCAAGAAAAAATAGATAAGTCTGTTTATAAAGCCCATGTAGATGGCTCCATTAACTCAGTGGTAGGGTTCAAGATGTATAGTATGTATGAGGGCAGTGTAATGCCTCTTACCAGTTTCTTTCAAGGCTAGGTACCTTAAGTCATTCCATCTTTGGGAGTGTTTCAGCTTACTACCTTCCTTAAAGACTTAATATGTAATAAGATCAATCCCAATAATTGCAGTTTGCCTAAGCAAAAAGGGTGAGGTTGGAAATCCTCTCTTATTTTTATTTCCTCCTTACTGGTAAGTAGTTTTTCTTGTGGGGATTGGAGGTTAGCTTTAGCAAAGCGGAAGGAGCTAGAATGAATGGCTGTTATCCATGTGGAATAAAGAGGGGTTGAAATCTTGTGTCAGAAGTGTCTAGTTCAAGGATTTATAAATACAGTGGCTGTTGTCAATTCCAAGAGGCCTTGAGACTGTTTGGTCTGCAACTGCATATAAATACTTCTGCTGTAGTAGCTGGATAGCAGATACTTGTTAGACACTACGGTGGTATCATGGATACAAGATTCTTGATGCTGGGGTTTCTTTGATGTTAGGATGTGCGAAGGGTTTTGATTCTGCAGCCACGCACATTCCCTTCCGCAGCCTCTTTTCCCGCTGTTTGTTTCCGATTAGGCACAATGGGTGCTTTCCCGTGTCCCCCGGAGCAGCTTTGTGGGAAAGGTATGCTGTAATTGGTTTATAACCATTCATAATGACCTGGCAACTCGGTGTGAATAGCAACGGGGAGCAACTTAACTTGTGATTTATTTAAGTAAGCTACATGGATGAAAGGTACTCCCAAGTGTACAAATTAAGCTAGTTGCCTAATTGGATGTAAATTTTCACTTGTAGCATGGAAAGAAGAGAGGGTTTTGTTAAGAATTTGAATTTATGAGCAAGCTTCTGGACTGCTAAACCAGTTTGTGAGCCAAGTTTAATACTGTCTTTTGGGGGGATGTTTTAGTTTTTGAATTCAGTAAAAGCGAGTATGCCCTTGTCATTTGTAAAGCTAATGGAATATTAAGATTTTTATTTACAGTGTGAATATCTGACCTTGCTTTTGGTGCAGTAACATACACTTTGATTTTTAAAAGCCAGGATTGGTACTGCTGCTTTGGTTGTAGCCTTTTACCAGTTTGTCATGGCATTCCTACTTATTTTGTCAAGGCTCCACCTGCTTTTCCTCACACAACACCCATGATACGAGCAACCCACCAGCTGCAGGGCATGACGATTCGGCAGGCAGTACGGCAGCCTTGGTAGTTGTAAGGCCACGGGTAGTAGCCCAGGAGAGGCTCACAGATTCTCTGGCACTGCGTGTAACTTCGTCTGCATTCAATGCAGCACACGCCGAGGTGATCCAGCATGGGGTCAAAAGCCATGCCTTCACCTTCCAGTTGCTGAAATGTAAAATAGTAAACGTCATTTCAGTGCTCTCATTCTCAGAGCATGTAGAATACACTGATGCTCCTGTAAACTTTACAATGTGTAAAACCTGAAATCTCAGTTCTGTTACAGTTAACAGCGCACCCCCTAACTGCGCTGACCACTGCATCTTGCTTTTTTTTTCCTCCTTTTTTGTCTTGCTGCAGAAGTGTAGAATTGGGGCAATCACCTGTGTAAGATGGAAAGAACAACAGGGAGCTCTAATTCATTACTTTCTCTTCTACAGTCCTTGCAAAAGATCCAGCAGCAGTAAACTCCTCCAAGTTTTAAATACTAGTGACCGAAGAGGTTTCAAGGGTATCTGGGTCTTTTAAGTAGATGACAGCATCTGAAGTTGTATGCTATGGTTTTAATGTTTTAGTTTTTGTATTTTAATGCTTTTTACAGCACTCTCAGGAAGCTGTTCAGTGTGCTACTACCCTGCAGTCTTCTGAGGATTTCTCCCTTCTCTTTCAGTCTGCCTTTTTTCCACACTTTGCCACATTTAGGCTCATTGCCCAGGGAAGTTGTGAATGCTCCATCCCTGGTGGTGTTCAAGGCCAGGTTGGACAGAGCCGTGGGTGGCATGGTTTAGTGGGAGGTGTCCCTGCCCATGGCAGGGGGGTTGGAACTAGATGATCTAAAGTGCCTTTCCAAGCCTAACTAATCTATGATTCTATGATTGTGGACAGTGAGAATTCTGCCTGCTCTGTTTCTGACAGTAAGGAGCTACATAGAGCAAGGTATGCATAAAATATGTATAAAAGCAGGCTCTTGCTACTGCCTTCACCCTTCAAAATTCATTTTCTTCTTTCTGGGAGATACTCTGCTTTTTGAAACTCCATTGTTCTTTCCTCATTGGTGTTACTTCAAGAAAAGCAGCAGCAAAGAGCAAATGCTGAAGTGACACGTGGCCTTTCACCTGACCATTTTCCATTCAGAAGACTAGCAGCACGCTGAAAAGGTGAGGTGCAGAAAGATGCCATCTCTTGTCTAGGCTTGTATAGGACACTAGTGACAGCTCAGTGTTGTTCAGGCTCCCAATAACCTGTTCCCAGCCCCAAGAGCAGAGAGGGTGTCATTTCATTGGTCAGGATTCATCATCCTTGAATTCAGGTACCTGCAGTGTGAAATTCTATTCCTGAGCTCATTGTCCAGACTCTACTCATAATGGATGAAGAGAAATAGCTCTGGGGAGGATTCATTTCATCCTACAGGGATGACTTACAGTGTAATTAAAGATCCATTTGAATCAGATTAATTGATCTAGAGAGAGAGTTTGGATATAGGCATCTATGCAGTGACTAAAGGTGAATCCCAGCCTGAGGCTGAGTGGAGCCTGGTGCTGTATCTGACTGGACATTGTCAGCTTGGTCCAGGGCCTTATGGCTGAAGAACAGACCTATGGAAGTTGTTCTGCCACTGCCCTCCATAGGTGGGACAGCTTGGACCCCATGGACTTGGTCACATCAACAGCTGTGAGGAGAAGTTACATTCCAGTGCTGCTGCTGTTTCACTGACCTCGTGAGAGAGTCAATTTAGATCCGCTTTATTTGGAGTGATTAATTTAAGTTTAATTAAGGGATGTCAACTCGGCAGAATGCTGTCACACTATAATGATCTCCTGCTGTTGCATAAATGTCAAGTCAAAGCTGAGACTTACTTCCAAAGCAGGAGGCATTTTATCTTGTGACAGTGTTGTATTAAAATGACTTACTCCTGCTGCACCAAATGGTGGGTGTAAATTGTCTGGCGCTGGTGCAGTAGACTGGAAGGTGCCTACTGTACAAGCAGCTCTCCTGCAGTGTGGAAAAGGTGCTGGGACACAGTGGGGAGGCTTCTGTGCTCCTTCTCTGGGCTGCTTTTTCTCAAAAGAGCCAGGATGAGTTTTGCAGTAGTCATCTGCTGTTGCTGTCTGTAAACGTGCCCACAGCTGCGAATTGCTTGCTAGAACTGGGGTCATTTACCCTCATAGTGAAGAGTCTGAGAAAACAGATTTACCTGGTCTAACCCTAATCTCCTTGCAAATAGACTACTACTGCTTTCCTCTGTAGTAGTCACTTCTGATACTAATTTCTATTTGACGGCAAAGTATTTTAGATTCAACATCCGTGAAGACATTCCAGGCCAGGCTGGATGTGGTTCTGGGCAACCTGATCTAGTTGAAGGTGTCCCTGCTCATTGCAGGGGGATTGGACTACATGACCTTTGAAGGTCCTTTACAAACCAAACTATTCCATGATTCTATGTTTCTGCCTACTGGACTCTTTCTCTACATTTTCAGTAAATGATGGGGCTCAGCTATCTGATCAAGACCAGCTTTGGTTTGTTTTCAGAAGGTGTCAGGTCCCTCTAGTGCTGCTTCTGTATGGATCTGGCAGCCCTGAAAAGCAGCTTGGCATCAGCTTGCCTTAATCAAGCTTGGCAAGCTTGAGTACTTGCCACTTGAAGCATGCGTGCTTGTTTGAGACTGAAATCTAATGAAAACTAGGATGGAGGAAGGAGAGGAGGACTGAGGGAAGACTGTTTTCAGCTTCTTAGGTGTATTACAAGTCTGTAACAGGCGAAGACTGTGCAGGTTAAAAAAAAAGACAAACTCCCCATCCATCAGTATTACCTGTCTACAACTGTCTCAGACTCTTAAAGATTACAGTGCAAATACTTACATTATAGGGGTTGTCTGGATTAAGTGTTTGGTCGGTTTCTTCTCCCGTTGGCCTGGTTTCATTAGGCTGGTGATCAAGCTCTTGAGTCAGCTGCATGGTGGGTGACCTAGTGTTTACTTCTTCACTAGCAGCTTCCAAGTCTTCCATATCAGAATTTGATTCTGACTGGCGTTTGTTTCTCTTCATTTCTCTCCTTTGGTTATCTGCAAAAATAATCACGAGATTATTATAAGATTAATCTTATCTTCAGCGTGTCCTTGGATTTATCTGCACATTATCTCAGGTTTCAAGGATTTCTTTAACTAATAAAAAAAGCAACGGTGGGAGGCAGAGGAAAAAAACAAACTATGTGGTGGCACACTCAGTGAGCATTCCCATGGGAATTGCTTGCCTTCCTGTGATGTATCTGTAGCCGGTATCTATCCAAAGGGGGATGAGATTGCCTTTTTTTTTTCCCCTTTCTTCCTTCCCTTGAGGCAAAGCACACTGGACGAGATTTGTTGTGGTTGCTTTTTTTACACCCTCTGGTCACTGATGTTGACTCACCAGCAGCTGCCAGCACTCGCAAGTTCAATTATAAGCATCTCAAGTTTTTTTGAGGTGCTTTTGTGACAGACTAGTGCCTTGCTCCCAAGGGCACCTGGTGAACCTGGTGGAAACAGCTTCCGGACAGCACTGACACTGCTGTCTTGTTGACCAGTGAGATATGCGAGGTTATGAGAAAAGTGGAAAATACGGGCAGTTTGGATCCACAGGTGCTCTAAAATATCATGCTTCCCCACACACCTCAAGTGTTCTAATGCTAACTGGACCAAGGAAGAGTAAATCTTTTCAAGCCTTCTCCTCTCCTCCCAGGGTCTGGAAGTCACCTGGAGAAGGTGCCTTCTCCATGGTGACTCCTGAGCACCTTTGCTAAGCTCAGCTCTGGGTGATGGGAGCACTTCAGTCCTGGGACTGGCCCCCAGAACCTCATAGACATCATCCACCAGTTGCCTAGCTAAAGCATCTCCTCCTACTCCATTGAAGTCCTGAAGCAGGCTTGGAAACAGGACAGTCTGCAGTCCCAGATCAGGAACTTGATATTCCCCAACTGTTGGCCCGGTACAGTGTTCCTCCTACTTTGTGTCAGCTGTCTAAACATTTTGGAGGTTAGTTTAAGCTGTTGTCTCATCCCTCCTTGGGGGTTGGACTGGATGATCTCCAGAGGTCCCTTCCAACCCTAACAATTCAGTGATTCTGTAGAAATACACTGAACTCTCTGGTAATGTTTCATCTTCTAGTAAGTCATCCATCTGAGGAATACAAGTATTTAAAACATCTAATAAGTGTGAATAAACTCCAAATGTGCAATCTTAGCCCTCACCCATGAGGGCTTGAGAAAACAGGGTGGTCAAGGGAGGAAGGGATCCTTGTTTCCTGTATGTGCAAGTCTCTGTGGCAAACCCAATTTGGGGAAGGTGTTTAGATACAGGGAGGGATAGCACATTTTTAAAATAAAGAAATGTTACCTTTGGGATATGTTGGTCGCAGCCAGAAAATTGGAAGATCCCCACAAAGCTCTAAAATTTTAGGGCTTAGGAAACTGTTACGCTTGATAGGCTCATCTGCAGCCACCCAGATAAGGGAGTTTTCGTCAAATCTCACAGGCATGATTTCATCTTCCTGCAAATAGAAGGGCATAAATCCTTTGCTGTTCAGTGAACAGTCATGTCCCTGCTTGCTGCTGATTCTTGAGCATCAACCTGTATAATCATCTGCTGCAGCTAATACCGAGCATCCTTTTATCTCAGGAGTGTGAACTGATTGTACTGAGCCAAAGCCTGACTAAAGGTTGCCACCACTTAAATGAATGGCAAAACTACTGTCAGCTTTGCTGGAGCTAAGATTTCACTCATCTGTCTTGGAAAGGTTTTGCCCTGTGTACAAGGACTGGGTGTCAAAGAGCGTTCACCCCAAAGCACCAGATTTTCAGGTGGTAGAAACTGTGGAGATTTACCACCTTCAGCAATGCAGCAATGAAATATGCCAGCTAAAAACATGCCCCTCATCTTTTACCGTGTCCCATTCTCATTTGATGTACTCCCAAGATAGATTTATGATAGGGAGGGGGGCAAAAATCTTATTCAGAAATTTTAGAATGGATTATAGCTTGAGAACTGCTCCAGCTTCCAGTTTTAAGTCAACGTTTTCGGTATGATTAAAGGTCTCGTTTGGTAAAAGCAATTCAATTGACCAAAAGCTTCAAGTGTGGGTTAAAGGAGCCTGCCTTTTTGAAGTGTACACTGCAGGTTTTTGGTTCATATCTTCAAGGTAATGTAGGAAAATGCCAGTGATTGATTCTTTAAAGTTGTTAGTTCAAAGTATTATTTTACATAAAATGTGTAAGTATTTTATAGCAACAGTGAAATATTAAAAGCAACCCAACTTTTCAGTCATGGAAACTGGTATGATTTCAAAGTTAAAATTCTAAATTGCTTCCCTAAACCTCATCAAAACTTGTTATGTAACTGACTAGATCAATTTATTCTGTCGAGCTGTTGTTCTTTAGTGTGTTTATTGATTTCTTTTGTAGGTCTCAAGTCATTTAAGTTCACTATCCAATCTGTCTAGTGAGAAGTGCTCTTTATTTATGTTCTCCCACTTAAGCTTTTATCAGCATCAGAAATATATGAATCTAATTTTCAGAAATAAAAATATCCTTTGTTTCTGTTTGAGATGATCATGGCTTATGAGCAGCCAGAGTTTTGGGTAGCTATGAAAGCTTATTTTAATCAACTGTTTTTGTAGGCAGTGTTGGTTATGATATGTGTTGGAAGAAAATGGCATATGCATACTTTCTCCTAAATACATGAATACCAGAGAGGGGACTTGCTCTAGAAAAACAAATACTACTTTGCCATTCCCATCATACATCTAACCTGGAAAGTCAAACAACAGGGAAAGGTTAACATCCCAACAAGTAGCACTTAGTTGGCTGCTTGTTTTGGCTTTGGCACGTGCAGTTTATTGCAGAGGTTGTGTGGCTGATGCACAGAAAGTAGGGCAAGGAAACAGGTTTACTGTTGCCAGGTAGAAGGTTTGAAATACCTTTGTGACTATTTAAGGATAATGTCTTCAGGGCTGTGACTTCATTCTTACAAAAAGATGACAAACTGAAACACTGACTTCAGGCAGTAGTGCTAATGAAGTCAAGAAGGCCAGCCTTGCTTTAGAATAAGGCAGAGCAGGAAAGATGTGGGCCTCTGCCTGGAGTTTGGGTAAGATCTCTTCCCAATCATGGGAAAACACCAACCTCAGGGGGCTTTGTAACATTGCTGGTGCCTTGGTGCTTGGCTTTAGAGAGACCTTTCCCCCCTGGCGTTTTAAAGTAGATGTTCAGTAGTCACAGCACTATTGCAGTTAGGTGCAGCCTTCATGGTGCCCATCTCCCAGCTAATTGTACCTGCTTTTATTTTCTCAGGAGTGGAGCAAACCCAGGGAAAGGGGTTATGGTTCTCCTGTGCTCTCCTGCCAGTGACTGAGACCCTGCCAGCATCCAGGCTTAGCTGTAATGAAGTGATTAGAGCCACCCTTGTGTGAGCAATGGGCTTGGGGGTCCAAGCTCTGGGAAACTCAGCCTGTGTGCACATAAAGCAATAGGCTTTTTTGACTAATATGTGGTAAGGAGAGGTTTTGGTGGTATCTGGGTGAGAGCTGCAGCTTTTGTGGTCGTTGCAATGCAGGTTTAATGAAATTTAGTTAACACCATGCTCTAAAATGAGATCTGATGGCATCTAAGAAAGCAAATTCTTCATTTTTCTAGTATTTCTTCTGAGTTAGCTGATTTTTTGCAATAATATTTTCCACAATTTGCCTTTACTTACTATTCTAGAGGACTCGAGGGATGGAGTCCCTGCTTTTGCTCAAGAGTGCTGGTAGAGATCTTTTGTCTACCACAATCCCTCCTTGTATCAACTGCTGCAGCTGCTTCTTCCATACTCTCCCAGCCTTGTGCACAGCCTGATCTCAGGTAGATGCTGTTGTCACTGAGGTCTCCTATGGACCTGGTGGTCTGTGGCTTCCCCCACTCACTAATCTATAGCCTCTCGCGATGCCTTGGGCACAGTGATGTGTCTGACGTCAGACTTGCTTTTCGTACCTTTCAGAAACCCCTTGCAAACAGTCAGTGAACCCTCAACTCTCCCACCCTACCCTCAACAGCCCTACCACTATCGACATTGGCTTTCAAATGTCATCACTGTATGTATTTACATGACACTTTAAGACCCTCTCTATACAAAGATTTGTTTTTAAATAAACCCTTTACCAGCTCAGATGAGAGGCTTGCTTTAGTCATAGCATCAACTTCAGGGACGTGTGCTTTTGGCTGAGCTTTGATGTAGCACTTTTCTCCTTCAGCAAAGCGGATCCCAGTTATGCCCTGTGAAAGCAGAAGGCAGGGGGGTTATGCGCAGCCCTCCAGCTCCCCACCACCCCCAAAGAAGCATTCAAGCACTGCTAAAATTCCCACTGAGTTTTGGTCTGAAGGTTAAATCTGACTTAAGCCCAGATGCAGTAGAAAGCTCATCCCTTGCTAATTCAGCTTTGTGACTTTAGTCAAATGGGGCTAGAAGTTTTCACTTGATTTCTGGAAGATGGGGGTGTTTTACGTAAGTGCTTCCATGACCACTGTAGGATACTTGGAGTAGTTCTGTTAAAGCATTAGTTGACATGCTTTGCACTGTAACTTTAACACCTACTGTAGGCAGCCTCAGATTGTGTTAGCTGGTGGTGCTTGGTCCAATTTATACACCATAAGTGCCTGTGACAGCAAGGGGAAGCTCGTGATGGGGAATTTGGTGCAGAAATCTGTGTGTGGGACTTCCTTCATCTGGCCTATGAGGGTGAAATGCAGTTGCCTAAGCCTAGATGGAAGTCTAGTTTTAAGCAAGAGAAGGGTATCCCAGCAGCTCCAGAGGGCTGCAAGTCTCCTGCAAGTCCTGGGTTGTACCTCCCAGCCCTGTGCCAGCACCTTGAGCATCAGTTCTCTTGTCTGTAGTTTCTGTGTTTCTGCTGTAGGTTTTTGGGTACCCGTAAAAGAGCTCTTTTATGCTATGAAATTGGATGCCTCATTGTCAATGGCAAAACTACTATGTTTTTTTCTGGGGTTGCACAAGCTCCATTCAACCACCTAAATATTATTATCTAGTGCCATTTGAGAAGTGCTTCTTTTCTGTGCAGCCTCTGTCTGCCAGAACAGGGTGGCATAGATGTCATCATGACCCTGCATCTCACCTGCCTCCTGCAGGCATCCTGGATGCCATAGGCTTCTAGTGCAGCTTGAGATGGGTGCTACTGAGGCACCTGAGTCTCATCCTGTGTGCCTGCAAGTCCTGTATGGCTGGGCAGACACCCATCAAAACAAAATGACTAATCCTAAAGCAGTGAGAAAGGGAATGTCTGTGCAGGGATGGGAGCAAGAGGGAATGAGACTTCGTGGTACACTGAGTATACTAAGAATATCCTAATATTGCCAAATCCCAGTCTTCACTGACGATGCAATGATTCGAGTGGTGCAGGTCAATCCAAAGCTGCTAATGCCAGTAACTTGGCTGTTGGAGGCCCATCTCTCCAATTTCTTTCTCCTTTATGTGCATTCTTGGCTCAAAACCCAACTGGCAGCATCCTTCTGCTCTCTCCCATTGAGCCTGCCTCTGGCCTGCTGTCATTACAAGCAGCGCCATCCCTGGGATGGTGGTGTTGGCTGGTTGGTGTTGGGAGCTGATTTCTGACCTGGTTGTGGCAGGCAGCAGTTTACCAGCAGCAAGCATGGAGACAATACCATAGAATCGCAGAATGGCTTGGGCTGGAAAGGATCTTAAAGCTCATCCAGTTCCAACCCCCCACTAGACCAGGTTGCTCAAAGCCCCATCCAACCTGAGGAAGAATTCAGCATAACTGCAGTGGGCTGGTGCTTTTGTGCAGATGTGGATTGGTGAAGGCAAATGAGAAGAGCTGGTTGTGGGCATTATCCAGCTGCTAATAATGTTGCTATGGTGATGTTAATGAGAGTTTCATGAAGGCTGAAATGCAGCTGTTGGGAATGTCGGGGTCCTGGGTCACCTGGCATGGATTTGTTTGTGCTTGCTGAGAAGCCAAGGAGATGAATTTCCTCACCTTTCTAGAGTCAGCAAGGGGAAGGTGGCTGCTCCAGAATCCCTGGGTAAGGCTTCCTAGCAGCAGCATCTTTATTTTAGATGCTGCTTTGACTTACAGAGGACTTCACACTGATCTTAACTGAAGTTGAGTGCTTCACACGTAAGAATACTAATTGCAGGATCTGGGCTCTGTAAATAGGTTTCTGCAGCATCAATAGATGTGCCTTTAGTAGCTCAGAAGTGGTGCAGCTCAGTGAACCACCCTATCGCAACTGTTGAGCTCTGCTGAGATTTGGCATCCGTTAGTCCAGGCTCTGCACTGGGCAGCCACAGCCAAATTGTTGGGGTACCCAAATGTGTTTGCAGTCAGCCCAAGTGTCCCAGCACCATGTGCTTGGTGCATGGATGCATAAGCTATGCTAAATGCCTCCATCCTCTCCCCTGGAGATGAACCCAGGCCAAGCTATGGAGAGCAGCTCCCATCCTTTATCTTGGACAGGAGGAAGCTGCCTAGGTCCAGCACTGCATGGTGGTCTCTCCTTGGTATTTACTTGGCTTATTGTGTTGACCTCATTCTCCTAAAATCGTGATGTTTTGGGGAGGGGGAAGTGGGTTTTCCAGTTCAAATAGTATGAAATGCCTAAAGGGGCCTACAAGGAGGCTGGAGAGGGACATTTTACAAGGGCATGTAGTGACAGGACAGAAGGTAGTGACTTTAAACTGAAAGAGGATAGATTTAGATTAGACATTAGGAAGAAGTTCTTCCCTGTGAGGGTGGTGATGCACAGGAACAAGTTGCCCAGAGAAGCTGTGGCTGCCCCATCCCTGACAGTGCTCAAGGACGGGTTGGATGGGGCTTTGAGCAACCTGCTCTAGTGGAAGGTGTCCCTGTTGGAATTAAGTGGTCATTAAGGTCCCTTTCAACCCAAACCATTCTGTGATTATGTGAAATCCTGCAAGGGCTGTAGCAGCTGCCAGAACATTTTGCTAGCAAGACCCCGAAGGCACATGTAGCTCTGTTCAGTGGTTTGAAATGCAGAGTATTAGGCGGAGCCAACCCTGATAAAGCCTAATCCACGCTGCTTACTGGAGTAGGACCTGGCACAGCCTATCCCCAGAGGCACATAGACTTCATTTTGGAGGAAACTGCCTGGCTTGCTGTGAAAGCAAACTGCAAGAGCAAGGATATTTGTGTGGGTAGCTACGGGCTGGAACCTGAGACTGACAGGGCAGATAAGTCAGGGCAGCGTCCAGTGCTGGAGCATGTTATGTGAAAAATGAGTGTGGTGGTACTTACAATCTGAAAATCATGAACTTCAACAGCTTCTTCACTCCCACTTCCTGTTTTGAATGTCTCTAAATTGTTTCCAGCATCAATTTCCATTGATCCATCTTGTACTTTTCCATTAATGCTCATAGTGTAGTGAACATTGTACACCTGGAATCAATAACAGAGCAGCAACACATGTCAGTAATTGCTTATTGCCTTCCTCCTACACTAGGTGATGGGTCAGACTGACCGTCTGAGCTCCTAACTTGTATTTCTGTAGGCATTTGATAACCCTCCATCAGCCAGCACCACGCTGCTGCAACACCTCACCCTTGGGGCAGGCTGTCAGTGGAGCAGGTTGCTCAGAGATGGTGCAGTCTCTTCCTTGGAAGTTCTCAAGGCCTGACTGGATAAAGCCCTGAGCAACCAGCTCAGACTCCACAGCAGTCCCTGCTCTGAGCAGCAGGTGGGACTAGAGACCTCCTGAGGTCCCTCCAGGGAGTTTTACTTCAAAAGCCGTGTGGGTTGAGTCCACATCCCAGCTCACTCCAACTTAAAAACCTTCTTCTAGGTCCTATTTTAGGAATTGCTGCTTATACTGACATGATTCCCAAAGGAGAACAGAAGCATCCCACTCCGAAGGAGTCCAAACCCTATTTATCTCTTAGGGTGTTCTGCTGAGGCACAGGAAAACAGGTTGCTCTTGAATCTGAACATGCTTCCCAGCTTGTAATGTATGTGAACGTTGTTTAAATTGGATGTGAAGTTGTATAGACTCGTATTTTCCTTGTCAGCGTATTTGCTCTTATCCCATTTTCAATGAGGGAAGCTGCAGCGTGGTTTGTATTTGCAGGAGGACCACAATCTGCGGAGAGGGTTTGCAATTCTCTCGTGCAGCCCTGCTGAAAGTGCTGCACAAGCAGTTTGCTCTCGGCCTTAAAACAGCCTCACAGCATTTTAATGAAAAATTTACACTGACAGCCAGAGACAAATTTCTTCTTCTCTTACCTTCGCCCAGGAAAGTCTGAGGCGCTAAAGATTTATGGTTCCGCAGTTAAACAGATTCAACCCCATATTTTCCTCCTCTGTTGGATGTAGTCCATAAAACCAGGCCAATGTGCATGGCTTCACCTGCCAGGGACTGAGCTAGGGCTGAGACTTTGTTATCCCTGTTAGTTATGGGAGAATGTAAAGATTTAAAGTAAAGATAACTTTTAAATTGCCTCAATGTTGTTATGAATGACCCTAGATGTAATCTTTACGGTTGCTTCCCAAACATTTGCAAGTCCAATGTCACCTTCTGAGTTTGAAGGTAGCTTAGAAAAGTAGCCCTAAGCTTTCCCAGTGTCTTCACGTGGAGATCAACTTTGACAGTTAATGACAAAGAAGCATGTGCCACATTTTGCAAAGCAGAATTTAGATGATGGGAGCAATAAAAAGAAGGAAATTTTGTCTTGTACTTGGCAAATGCAGCTGCTTGGTCAGAGCTGAATCTGCCATCCCTCTCCCTCCCTGTGTATCCATTTCCATCCTTCTCCACTCTCATAAGCCTCAAGAAGCTGATGGCTCTTAGCATCCTGAAGGTGAGCATCCTGTCATTTTGGTTTCTTTCTGATTGCCTGCATTATCCCTCTATGTAGGGAACCTCTGCTCTGGCTGCCAGGATCCTCACAAAGGTCTTCCTGAGGGAACCAGTACATGGGTGGAGGTGGTACAAAACCACTTCCAAAATAAATTCAAAGATCCCAATCACACTTATGGAGCAGGTTACATTCACTTGTGCACCGGCGTGTTTGAAATGCGATTTCAACAACCATCTGACATGAACAGAAATCAAAGTTTCTATATTAACATGTTCTAACATGCTGAAGTTTGGGACTTAAACTGATTGGCAGCTTCTCAGTTTTGTTCTTTGTGTATGGGGTTTATCATGTACACCACAAAATGTAAGATTTACCACGACTTTACAAACTGCTCTACAGCTGCTAACAATAAATGCCTGTGTGTGCACACAGACATGTAAACCACCGAAGCCAAATAAAGGTGCCTGTTAAGGGGTTAAATATAGCATGACATACTTGAAGGGCCAGGTAGGATCTGGACCAAGAATGCAGAGGATGTGAAAATGGAATTTACACATGTCAATGCTGGTTTTGTCCTCAGAGCTGGAGTGTGCCCAGGACGTGTTGGGGTTTGAGTTCGCTGTGGATTTGCAAGCAGAAATCAGTGTAATGTCTGTGCTCTCAAAGATACGTTTCATGTTCATTAAGAAATGTGCTTCCAGGAGGCTCCATGCAAAGAACCAGTGAAGATAATAAGGTCGGGTTGGGTTGTGTTTTTGGAAAGCATGGAAAAAACGTAAAGATCTGCTTAAAGACCTCTTTATCGACCCCGCAGGAAGCGTTCCCAGGCTGTGCCTCTCCCGCACACGCAACCAGCACCCTCGTCCAGATGCGGGCTGTGCTGCCGGGCTCACCTGCCGCTCGGTGGCTTTCCAGAAGTAGAAGGCGCCGATGGCCCCGGCCAGGAGGAGGAGAGCTCCTGCGATCAGCACCGCAGCCCCCGCCTTCAGCAGCCGCCCCGGCCCGGGGGGCACCGCCGCCGCGTACGCCTGAGGAGAATGCGGGGCTGGGCGCGGGCAGGGACCCATCCTGCACTACCCCCTTCCGCCGCGTCCCGGCCCTGACCGGACCCAACCCATCCTGATCCGACCCGATTACGATCCGTTTGGTCCTGATCCAACCTGACCCGACCCTTTTTTTTCCCAGCCCGACCTGTTCCATCCCATTCTGTGCCGTCCCGACCTGCTCGGTGCCGTTCCGTCCCAACCCATCCAGACCTGTTTTGTCCCGATCGATCCATCCCGTCCCCACCCGACCCGACCCTACTCGTTTTGTCCCAGTCCGACCCGACCCGGTTCGTCCCGTCCCCCGTCCCATCCCGTCCCGTCCCGCGCGGTGCTGCGCGGCAGCACTCACGGGTGGCACGCACTGCTCCACATCTTCAGGCCCCACTCGGGCGATGGGCACCTTCTCGGAGCCCTCTGCCATGGCTGCCGCGGGAGGGAGAGCTGCCCCGGCCCCGCACCCGCTCCCGGCCCCGGCCCCAGCCCCAGCCCCGTCGGGGGGCAGCACCACCCCGGCCCGCCCCGGCCCGACTGGGAGGGCAGCACCGCCCCCTGCCCGGCACAAGGAGCCCCTTGAGCTGCTGGCAGCCGTAGGACCGTGACACCCCGTTCCCCACAAAACACCCTCGCGGCTGTCTCCAGCTTTGGAGACGGGGGGATTCGGGGATGCAGCGGACAGGCGTCCCTGCACACCATCGCTGACCCGAGAGGTGCCCCTGCAGACAAACAGCCATCGTAAAAAGCAGCTTTTAAAACAGAGCAGCGTTTTGACACTTCTTCATGCTTGCTGCAGGAATCCACAGGCGCGGGAGCTGACACTCCTGTTGGGTGGCTGCTCTGTGAAACACCCCGATGCATAGCACAAGCAAAAAGCCCAGCTCCCCACCCTTTACCACCCTGGGAAGCAGGGCAGCCAGCCCAGGCCTGAGACAGGCTCAGTGGGAGCAAGGCTGGGGTGGTGATTTGATCTTTTCATAGAATTACAGAATGGTTTGGGTTGGAAGGGACTATAAAGCCCCCCAGTTCCAATCCCCTGCCATGGGCAGGGACACCTTCCACTAGACCAGGTTGCTCCAAGCCCCTTCCAGCCTGGCCTTGAACACTGCCATGGATGGGGCAGACATAGCTTCTCTGGGCACCCTGTGCCAGTGCCTCACCACTCTCATAGTAAATGATTTCTTCCTAATGTTTTCCTAATGTTTCTAAATCTTCCCTGTTTAAAAAGGTCATGGTTACCTTGCAAATTGATCTCTGAAGTAGACACATCCCTGGATTTCTTCTGTTTCCTGTCACTCACGATGCTCAGTTGGGTTTTTGAGCATCTAAAGTATGCTAGAATCACAGGAAATTCAGGTTGGCAGGAGTGTTCATCTGCATCTGTTTTCTCGTTCTAGTGTTGTATATGGAAAGCTTTTAAGGGCTTGAAATGGCTACATGTGTCTGTGTGTCTGTCCCTGTATCAGCATCTGTGTTTCCTTCCTGCGCTGTATTGGTGTCCTGCCTTTACACACGTGTCTGTGTGTGCAGTCTTTGATGCTGGAAAATAAACAGTGCTGGACTCCTTCAGGGCTGACACTGTCAAATACAGAGTAGAGGAGCCTTTGTAAGGCTGGAACTGAAGGATAAAACAGAAAGACCATGAAGGAGAGATGTCTGGGTTGTGCCTTGCCCTGCCCTGCCTTGCCCTGCTTGCTCTGTCACCTTGACAGGCCATGGCACTGGAGGGCAGGGCTGTTAAACCGGAGAGCCCTTGACACATGGGGAACTATCTCATGCTTGAGCAGTGCCTACACTAACCAGTGCCTACACCAGCCAGTGCCTATGCTAACCAGTACCTACACCAGCCAGTGCCTATGCTAACCAGTGCCTATGCCAACCAGTGCCTATGCTAACCAGTGCCTATGCCAACCAGTGCCTATGCTAAGCAGCGCCTATGCTAACCAGCACCTATGCTAACCAGTGCCTACGCTAACCAGTGCCTACGCTAACCAGTGCCTATGCTAACCAGTGCCTATGCTAACCAGTGCCTACACCAAACAGTGCCTACGCTAACCAGCGCCTATGCTAACCAGCACCTACGCTAACCAGTGCCTGTGCTAACCAGTGCCTGTGCTAACCAGCTCTGGCGCAGCAGTGTTTTTCTTTCAAAGCATGCATCTCTTTATACCTCTCTTCCCCTCTCCTCTCCATTTTTGCTCATCTGGCAGGTTGATGTCCCCTGGCTCAGTAGCTGCACATTACAGACATATCCCCCCATCTGGGATGGTGACAGCAAAGGCCAGCTGACGGCCCCATCCCACCACAGCTCATCCCAGCCCTGTGTATGCTGGATTTCCTACATCTGCCTCTCTTCTGCACCCATAACTGCAAAAATCTTCCTTGTTTTCCATGTCTAAATCCTCTCACTGATTTGACCAGTATCTTAAAACCCAACATCAAGCAGCACAAAAGCAAAGAAAACTCAGGCCCCTCTTGTGTCTGCTTGCTTGGGGACCAAATCCCAGAGACACGATCCCCATCTTCCTTCCCTTCAACCCAAATTCATCCTTTCTGTCGATTGCTGTCGTTAATGATCAGACCTTAAACACAAATTGAGCGGGCATAGTTGCTGCCAAAAATAAACACAATCACAGCTCATTAAATCAAAAGTGAAGCCTCCTGTGCAACTTCCTAAACTAGGGCATATTCTAGCCCACTCTGGAATGACAGGTTGGGGCTAATAATAAGATTATGATCCTCTTCATTAGCAAGTATTTTGTTACACCAAAAATCTCGTGAATGGATATGTCTATCTTGGCAAAATGTGAGAATCCCAGCCTTTGATCTCAAACCTCCATTTAGCATAGCTGCTTTAAAAAGACAGATTTATTTTAAGGCCTCTGTGCTCATCTTCCATGGGAAAAAGTGCCAGGGAGGCAACGCTTGCCTGGGAAGAGCAGCTGCTCGTTGGGGTTCAGCTTGTTTGAGCTGCATCCCTGTGACTGACGTGGGGGAGCCGCTGTCCCCCCACAGTGGTACCTGACTGCCTGACAGCTCCTTCCCTGGAGCGTGAATGGAAGGGCAGAGGGAGACTGCAATGTTTTGACTGGAGAAAGGGTGGCTGAGTGTGCAGTGTTGAGGAGGAGCGTTAGCAAAAGCAATGTATACCAGTGCAAGGGTGAATAAGTGTATTTAACACATTGATGCTGAATATTCAAGGTACATTCCCTCCAGGTGCTGCATGGTGAAGTGCAGTATCAGCCCCTGAACACAAGGGTTGGGGGGCTCACCCCACCGTACTGATGGGGCAGTGGTGGCCCTGGCACGTTTTAACTTGGGCAGACTCCCACAATCCCAAGCAATGGTGCCAGCCATGAGCCGATCCGCACGGTTCGGTGCCTGGCTGCTGGTCCTGGGCTAGGGTGTGAGATGGATCCTGCTCATGTAGGTTCCTTTGGGATGGAGGCATTCTGCCCAAACCCTGGGCAAGAAGCTGTGGAGCGTTTTCTCCTCAAGCCAAGGCACAAATCCCGAGTAATCCTCTAAATGTGTTTGTCATGTGGGGAACAATCCCAGATGTATTTATTTATTTGCCCCCAGCACAGAGCATCGCTGCCTCTTCTTGTCTTCCACAGGCAGAGGAGGAGCAGCATGAAATTTCAGGCAGGCAGAAGAGAACGAAAACGTTCCTGTTACCCAGTTTGAAGATTGCCACCTCCAGTTAACCCCTATGCTCATGCTCTGCGTTTTGTGTGGGCAGGGATGTTTCCTTTGGAGGGAGCGGGGAGTTGCATCTTGTGCATTTGATTGATTGGGTGACATGGGAGAAAACAGGGGGGTTTAGGCAGAAGCAAACCCATGCAAGCAGCTCAGCATTCAGCAGCCCCAGACACTGGCTGTGGAGTGCAAAGACAAGTGCGACAGCCAGTGTTTTCAGGGCTTAGGGCACAAAAACGTGACTTGCCTTTCACCGGCTGAATTCTTCATTTGCAATAAAGATGAGGATGATACCAGTGTCTGAGCTCAGCCTCCTCTCCAAATAACATGTGTGTGCTCAGCTGGATTAAGCTAACTTCAGAGACTGGAAGTCATAATAACAGTCTTTTACAGGACAGCCTTTCTGCTTGTCTAATACTATTATGCTCTGTGCTGAAAAGCATTCCGGAGTACTTGGAGTGCTATGCTGGCTGTGAGGTTGCTTAGCAGATAGTACCGGCTTGTCTCAAGGAAGCACATTTTCTCATTATTTTTCAGCTTAAAGGGGAAGTTTAGAAGGAGCAGTGGAAATATTAACAGTGAGAAGGATTTGGTCATGCTGTGTGCCTTTCTGTGAGTTTCTTCTGGTGCCTTGTGAGCTTTATCTTCATTTCCTGTGTCTCAAATGGTTATTTGAACTCTGAGATGGCTGGAACAGAAATCCGTGAGGACTACTGACACTGGGCACCTGATTCTCCACTTTGCTTTTCCATGGGTTTACACCACCATGACACCATAAGCTGATTCAGGTCCCACTTACTTGAAGTCTCTTAAAAATAATCAAAGTCCTCTGGGGAAAAAGTCCTACAGAGAAAGCAAATCTTGGCATTGGTATTGTGGCTGGGCACCAGGTGCCCATGAAAGTCTCTCCATCACTGCCCTCCTCAGCTGGACAGGGCAGGGAAAACATAAAGGCTTGTAGGCAGGGAGAGCTCACTCACCAGTTGCTGTCACAAGCAAAACAGACTTAATTAAATCAGAGTAGGATAATGAGAAATAGAAACCAAATCTTAAATCACTTTCCCCCCCAAGCCTTCCCTTCTTCCTGGTATTAAATTTACTCACAAATGCTCTATCTTCTCCACACCAGTGGCACAGGGGGACAGGGAATGGGGGCTGTGGTCAGTTCATCACACGTTGTCTCTGCTGCTCCTTGCTCCTGAGGACGTATGTCATTACCACAGCTCTCACCTCTGTAGTGGCCCTGGACATTGTGGTGCCCGTAGGATGCTTGCTTTTCCTCCTCTGCTACCTTGCCATATGTGCGGAGTGTGCTGACTCCATCCTCCTTTCTTTGACCAGCAACACACAAAATTCCAAACACCAAACCCACTGTTTTTCATGGTAGGTGTGTAATTCTCCCTGGGAAACCCCACAAGAACCTTGCTCTGATGCTGCTGTCTGGAGAAAATAGACATCCTTGCTTACTCTGCATGGGGTGCAACCCAGCAGCCAAGCTGGCCCCACTTTAAAGGATGTCCCAAAACATGCTTGGTGCAGGACATTGCTCATCCCAAATCCTTCCTCTGCTCTCCTGTGGTCGAGTGATGACATATGGTCCATCGTGGATTGCTCTTCCTCCCCCCAGGACACTAAAGCCTGATTTGTTTTTCCCCAGGGCTGAATCCCATCTATCCATATGTCTTCATCTTATTCTTCTTAATCTAGCTCGTGGCTCTGCCTTCTGTTTTCCTTGAATTAAAGAAATAAAATAAAATAGCTATCTGTCATTATGTGCTTT